CCTCCATTTCCAAGAAGTATCGCATCTGTTCCAAGTCTTTTACTTCGAACTTGTGGCTAGGCTCTCTTTAAGTCTTTCTATTTTCACTATATTATCTTCGGCCAGTATAATGTCATCAACGTATACAATTTGGATTATTTTTGTCCCTGTTTCAGATAATTGGTAGAATATCATATGGTCTAACTGTCATTGTCGATATCCTTGACTTCTCAATACTTTTGCAAATCTGTCGAACCATGCTTTTGATGATTGTTTGAGATCGTACAAATTTTTTTTTGTGTCTGCACACCTTATTTTCTTCCTCGCTTTCATAAAAGCCTAGGATAATGTCATAAAAACCTCTTCTTCTAATTCTACATTCAAGAAAGTATTTTTATGTCAAGCTGTTGGAGTGGCCAATCCAAATTTGCTGCTAAGGACAAGATAACTCAGATTGTATTCAATTTTGTTACAGGAGCGAATATTTCTATATAGTTAATGCCGTAGGTCCGTTTATATCCTTTTGCAACAAGACGAGCTTTGTACCATTCTATTGTCATCAGATTTGTACTTCGCATTATAAACCCATTTGGAACCGACGGGTCTTTTCTCCCTTGGTAACTTTACCACATCCCAAGTTTTTTTTCTAGTGCTTGTATTTTTTCCAAAACTGCTTCTTTCCATTTGGGAATAGCCATGGCCTTTTGAATATTCTTTGGAATTCCTGTATTATCATGGTTATAAAAGATCATGCGAAATCCTATATGAAACAAATTTTGAGATATGATGAAGAGTACATGATCGATGCTGTTTTCTGAAAGCAATAGGTAGATCACTTTCTAAGGATTAATATTTATCTAAAGGAATCTCACGGAGATTTGGAGCTATCATCAGTTCTAACTCTTTTGGTGCTTCAGGTGTGAGGTTCTCCTTATCCATTGACTTTAGCTTTCTTAAGTAAACTAATATCTCCTTGCTAACATGCTTTCTTTCATCTCCCTAAGTTGACCTTTGTAGATGGCATGTTAGGACCAGGGAGAGTGATTGATTCAGTGTTTATGATAGGTTCAGTAGGAAAGAGATTAAAGTTGAAGAATTGACCTTGATTTATAATGGCACTTGTAGCACATTTTGATATGGAGTTACATAAGATGGATGTAAAGATTGCTTTTCTCAATGGGGACATTGATAAAATGATATATATGGTATAGCCAGAAAAATTTATGTCAGGTGCTCCAAAGAAAGTAGTCTGCAAATTAAAGAAATCCGTCTATAGTCTCAAACATGCTTCTCATCAATAGTTTTACAAATTCCATCAAGTTATTATCTCATTTGGGTTTGAGATGAATGTAGTTGATGATTGTGTATACCACAAGTTCAGTGAAAGTAAATATGTCTTTTTGGTGTTATATGTCAATGGTATACTGCTTAGTAGCAATATAAGCTTATTGCACAAAATCAAGAGATTTCTAACAAAAATTTTTGAAATGAAAGATCTTGGGGACGCTTTTTTTGTATTAGGTATACAAATACATTGAAATCGTTCTCAAGGTATCTTGGGGTTATCGCAAAAGAGCTATATCGAAAAAGTACTTGATAAATTCGGCAATAAAGATTGTGCACTAAGAGATACCCCTATCACTAAGGAAGACCAGTTTAGTGTAGGTCAATGCCCTAAGAATGAGTTGGAATGGAAATAAATGCAAAAGATTCCTTATGCATCAGCTGTAGGAAGTCTTATGTATGCTCAAATATGCACGCGTCTGGACATTGCGTTCATAGTTGGAATGTTATGTAGATATTTGAGTAACCTAGAGATAGATCATTGGAAAGCAGCCTAACGGGTTATGCATTATTTGCTGAGAACAAAAAATTACATACTCACTTATTAGAGATCAGATCATTTAGAGACCGTTGGGTATTCTAATTTCGATTTTGCTGGATGTCAAGACAATAAAAGATCCACGTCAGGCTATATTTACCTATTAGCTGGAGGAGCTATTTCCTAGAAGAGTGCTAAGCAAACACTCGTAGCTTTTTCCAAATAGTAGCAGAGTTTATAGCATGTTATGAGGTAACTAATCATGAAATATGACTCAGAAACTTTGTTAGTGAGCTGCGAATTGTGGAAGGTATTAAAAGACCGTTAAAGATATATTGTGACAATAATTCGGCTATGCTTTATTCTAATAACAACAGAAGCTTTACGAAATATAAGCACATAGATATCAAGTTTCTTGTTGTTAAAGAAGGAGTTCAAAGTCATCATGTGGCCATAGAACATATCGGGACAAACTCCATGCTTGCGGATCCGCTTACTAAGGGTTTACCGCCCAAGGTCTTTCATGAGCTGACTGTTCACATGGGTTTTGTTTTAGTGGGAGTTTGTATTTTTTATGTTCATTGTTAAAGGGAAATTTTCTAATGTGTATAAATCAAATACTAATTGAATTAGAGTTGATGGGACTCTAATTTGAGTTAGTATATAAGGATTATTATAAGGGTTGTGGTCCCCAAGTCAAATCATACGTAATATTGGCTCTCCTCCTGCTTTCCCTTTAAAGAGAGAATTCACAGAGCATCTAAAGAATCATAAAGTGATTTGACTGTGGAAGACTCCATCCTTCTCTAAATTTGTCAATATGGATTTCAGGTATGCTTCAATCTATTTTCTTGATGAGTTAACATGAGATCTTGACATATGTGATTATTTTATCATCTAAAGTTCAACCAAGAGCAGGGGCAATTGCATCAATTTTACTCATCATAGAGTCAAGGATTGGTGGGTTTTGAAATGGAAACATAGTGCATCTCACCAACTTCTAGACCTAATATTGAATTGACAAAATCCCTAATTTGGGAAAAACGTATTAAATATATATATCGTGTCTAGTGAAATGTCAATTTTTATCGACATGATGTAACTGAGTATTGTCAAGTACTTGCTAGTCTGCATTAGCTTATGCTTACAAGTCCCACCACTACATGTTCTGTTAATAAGTGATATGATCCCGGGTGCGCCACCAATTACCAAGAATTCAACTCATGTTGGAAGGAAGATCAAGGTTCGGATTTGGAGTCAAATCCTTTTGAAGAGAGATGGAATGATGTGATATGCATAGAGACATGTTTGGACGGAAATTCTAGATTTTGGGGCAGTTACCTTATGCAATTAGAATTCTTACCTTTTGATATCTTTACCATCATTTGGACGTGTTTACTTTTTTTTTTTAAATAGGATTTTTTTTTAGTTTTATTCCATTTTAAATTATTATCTGGGGTTTAATAGTTTTTAGTATAAATAGGGAATTTATTTCTTCATTGTATGACAAGACTTTTAATATTGAATTAATTGAGAAGCAGGATTGCCTTCTTCCTGTTCTTCATGAACAATCAACGAACTTATCAAGATTAATCTTGTGGCGTTCACCAATCAAGGGAGATTCGTAGATTTTTGTGATCATGGGGTCAAAGTATTCTTGCAATTGTCTTAGTTTCTTGGCTCAATAATTTATTGGATCGATCTTACAAATCCGGGTTTTCGTTTCATAAATCTTGTAATCAAAAGGTCAGCATATTCTTGTGATTGTGTTGGTTGTTTGATTCATTGTTTTTGGCTCAAATCCATAAACCTTATTGTTTGGAACTTTCTTGGGTCCGATTTCATTCTTCCGCGGGTTCCGTAGTGTTCTTGCTACGTGGATTCGCATCAATAAGCCTACCCAGTTTGTGCACAAGCCTACCGCCGAACTTTAGATGCCATTTAAACGTGTGATGCGCTATTTTTGTGGTATCTTTATTATGATATTTTTCTTTGCAAATATTCACCACATATCCTTCATGCTTTCTCTGCATTTTTTTTTTAATCGGTAAATGTACTTCTTGGTTATAACCCAGTTTCTTAATAGTCTAGAAAGCAACGAACTTGCTTCGATTTTCCATTGAGACTTTAAATTGACTTCTTGTGAGGTCCTCCAGATTAAAGCACTTTTTCAGGAATTTGGAGAACCTATCAATTCTACTCTATCTACATACTCTAATAATGTCAGTATCATATATCTTTGCTATAATCCTGCATTTCACTCGAAGAAAAAGCATGTTGAGATTGATGTTCCTTTTGTTCAGGACAAGGTTAAATCGAAGGTAGTTGTGCCATGCATGTTTCATCTATTGATAAATTGATAGATTCACTCAACAAATCTCAGTCTACATTTCAATCATTGCTATTACAGCACTAGATAGATGTCACCAATGGAACTCACTGTCTTGCGGGTCGTTAGAGACAAAGTTCTATACGCTTCAGATAATTCTTCATCACAATTTTAGTATATATTAACTTTTTCTACATTAAATATAGTATATTTCTACGTCAGTGTAAGCTTAGTAGGATGCTCTATCTTTATAATTGTATAGTATTAGGATTGTTCATATGCAACGTTATACATATTACTTCCATCCAATTTTTGTATCATTAATAAAGCTTTGTTTTCGAACATCTCATGGACAATATCATTTTCCATTGTTAAATATTGCTAAATTACAAATATGCATTGATTCTCAAATGTACCTCGTTGAACTATATTATCTCAAATTTGCATCGTTGAACCCTATTCTTGATTTCAAGAGAATTGTTACACCTGAAGTCATTTCTCAACCTTTCTATACATAGAGTTATAATGCCGTTAGGACCTAACGACCATATTGCTTTTCTATCTCCTATACAGTTTAATCCGGTGCATCAAAAGCATCCTCAATGCAGCATAAGTGTTTGACGGTGCTAATTTGTACATTTCTACTTTGTAAGTTAATCTGGTCATTGCGATGAACAGTTCAATACATATGTATTGTTAATGAAAATACAAATCCAGCGCTGAAGAGGCTATTGTATCCATAGCACTATTGTAAATAGCGAGACGCAAATTGAGGGAATGGAGCAATAATGTGTTCTTTCACGAGTACTAGCATACGAGGTAAAGAAAGATCACATATCAATTCGACTTGACTCGACTCGACTCTTGAGAGATCATGCCAATCCCTTGAGTTTCAGATATAAGTGCCTTGGAGAATGGAAAAATGATTTCTATCCTGTTTATGACAGTGACAACACTCCCTAATATCTTACAATATATCTTTTTTCACAAACTTGCATGATAGCATAAATTTATAATACAAAAGGCCCAATATTCACATCAGTATTGCCAGTTACCAAGAACGTTTGAACAGTCAAAAATAGCATAACATAAAAATGATAGAACAACAAAAATGACAAAATTCCCATAGATCCTCAGTTGCCAGCCCCAACCGATACAGCAGCTCCTGACCGATAAGGACATTCAGATTCGGAGGAACTCTACTTGAGGGAGGCAAAATTGGTTTGTTGAAACCATTCCACTTAAATTGTCTCTCCAAACTGTTCATGTTAACGCCACGATCGCTCAAGAGAATTTCGGGATGAAATTTCTTGTCTTCATAATTGTTTATAAAAGAGAACATAAGCCTCGTCGTGCAACACTTTGTTGGTGCTAATGGCAGTAACTGATGCGTCATCATACCGTAACCACTGCCCATTAGGGTAAAGAGCATCAGCTGTATAATGCCCTCTTGAGGCTTCCCTGCCATGGTGGCTTATGGTCGATACAAGTCCATATCTTCGGCCCTGACACCGAAACAGAAAATGTTTCCAAGTATATTTAGTTGCTATTTAATCAAATTTGGTATCTGGTTTATCATATTGACAGAGGCATAAATTCATTTCTAAAAATGATATATGGTCCACTAAAATCCCCTTCTAACTACAGTCACAAAAGTTTCTTTTAAAACTAGGACAAGATTACTGGTCAATAACTATGAACGTTCGAGGTTCCAGAAAACCCAGAAGATCTACATAAAGGAGAAAATAACTAAGAAATAAAAAATGATATGAAGGACCATTACCTCAGTGGTAGGGGAAACAAGTAGATCACGGGTTAGCACTAGTACAGGAGGAAAGTGCACTGATTTGTGTAACTTGATGCTTCCAGAGCTTCCATAACCAAAACGCATCAGATGTAATATCATTATCTTGGGAAGTGATTGTATGTTGATAGATTTTCTGGCAGTTACAACTCCAGCCTGAAATTCAGTAAAATATCATTATTCGCACTATATCAACCACAACCAAGTTTAACCTTCAAGGCAGGAACATGAATTCAATCTTTCCATCAAAAGTCAAGCATTAAAATCTAAGACCCAGTTTTAATCTAACATGATTGATACACTCTTGTTTACACTTTACTTCTGCATGGGTGCATTTGGAGTTGATTGATTCATAAGGAGAAGTGAGATTTGTCCTTTGTCAATTATCCTCCAGTTCTCTCAATTTTTCCAGGATCTAACTCCAATCATGGATGAATAAATTTTGCCAGAAGTCAAGAAAAACTTTTGCCCGAGTCATTGACTAATTGTTGCCTTTATAACTAGATCTCGTCTCAACTCTTAACCCAAGTGTGATGAAACATGAAACAAGACACCAGTTCATACAATGTTAATATTGAACCACGTACTTAGCATGCATCTAGGGGATAAGTCATTCTTAAAAGCAAAGGGGGACAAACATCTTGCTTAATGGAAAGAACACATGTACCTGCCATATGACAACTGAACACCCACTAGTTAGTGATGGAGATCGAGATCGAGATCGAGATTAAAATAGAGATATTACAAGTTAATTCGGATTTTAAAATAGAGATATATTTTGAATAAAACTATTTAGATTTGTTTTGATATTTTGATATAATTATAGACCATTAGAAGTTTGTTTCTTTTAGCTTCTTCTAAGTTTAGTTATTCTATAAACGGAGGGGCTTATTCAAATTAATATTTAACCCCTGATTATATGAATAAAAATTGACATTTTCCTTTTGAACTCAATACTTCACTTCTTGGTCCCCTTTCTTTGCTTGTTCGTTAACATATTACAGGCTCCTCCATCAGTTAGATTTCAGTCTAGAAAGGATAGAAATCATCCAAACAGAATAAAATTTTGATTTTCCAGTTTGATGCACAAAATATTTCCATTACTTCAATTTGATGTATGGTGATAAGAAAAATCATTTTGAGGCATGTTTCCTCCAACCTAAAATTACCACCCAAATCAGATCCCCATTTTGCTAAATATTAAAAATACTTCTTCCTCATAAATGTTGAACTACAACTTACGTAAATAGCACAAGCTAAATCTTGAACCAAATGGATAACTCTACATAATATATTTTCGTTTCGCATCTCTTTCTCTTTCTACTAAATCTTAAAAATACTTCTTCCTTGTAAATTTTGAACCACAACTTGCATAAATAGTACAAGCTAAATCTTGGAACCAAATGGATAACTCTACATCCTAATATATTGTGGCATCTTGGTCTGTTCAGTTTCACCCCACACTAATCAAATCAAACTAAAATTCGGGAGTTTTTTTTACTGATTAATGGCCACACTTATTACATTGGCCAATTGAGAATCACAAATACTTCCATCAAAAGAGGTTCTGCAGCAAGATGTAGGAAATATTAGAATATTATAATTACAGTAAAATACAATAAGATAACTCACCTTTCCCTTTGTTGATGATGTCCAGTACTCTTCAAGTGTTTCCGGGGCAGAAAATAAGCGAAGAGCATCTTCAATGGTATGAACAGCTTCATGGGAAATGTCTAAATGGAGCAAAAGAAATGGCTGAACTGTGGCAGAGGCTTTGTTTCCTGTCGATAACATAGCCATTAATTGCATTTATTAGCTAAATAAAATAGGGGGAGTATATAATATTTTTTCTGACATTCTAGTAACCAGTCACTTGCCAAAACTAATATACATGAGGAAAAATCGATCGCACTTTGTTAGGGAACTTGAGATAAGAACATATCTTATATGATCTAATTGTGCTACTTGTGGTCATGTGTTAATTAAAATTTGTTTCAGCTAGTTTTGAGTTGATACTAGTTTCATTAGGTGAATCGTGAACTAGGCAAAATACAGGAGAAGTTTTTGAAATACTTTAGTCACTGGTGAAGGAAACGAAAATATATTGGAGCATCTGATCTAATGTCAGGCAAAAACATTAGTTCCTCACTTCTTGTGATTTCAGACAGCAAAGTTTTAAAACTTGAAAAATCAAGAAAATGAAATTCAATGACCATTTGGGATTCTCATGAGCAGTAACCAAGAGCACTTTCATGTAACTCGTGATTCTGTGCGGTTCAGGGTTAAGGTTCTATAAGGAAATCCATTGAGCTAGATGCCTGAAGGTGTTAGGAAATAGAAGAAGCTTTCTTTAGAACAAAGATTATAAGCTAATTGGAATTCGGTAAAGAATATAAAGAACTATTTTGGAATATAAAAATATATTTTAATAAGCCTTCCTGGGAGATGAAAGGGACACCAATATTTTCCATTGTATTTTTTTCTTTATTTAGCCTTTTATTGTATATTATTCTCTGCCAGTCATTCCCACCCTCGAGCAAGATAATGCAGCCGTATTTGCAAACACATTGATTTAAGAGAAAAGGTTAACCAAGAAGAATGCATGAATCTAATAAGCCTCGAGTCAAACATATAAAATAGCAATAACAAGGAGAAGCCATCTGAACAGGCAATAATGAGAATGATTTAGAACATCACTGCAAAATATACTTAATATGTTCAACTGTAAAAGCCAGCAAATACTCATAGAACAAGCACCTTCAATAGTCAATTTTTCTCTTTTATCCCCAAAGAGAGCTGTCTCAAAAAAATGCTACTAATCTTCCCTTCAAATTCTGTTAATGATCGAAAGAAAACTTCGAGCATCACCCTCAACTCTCGGTCTGAAAACTTGTCCAAGACTAGATGACATTATCATCCATTTGGACATCTTCAAACAGGACAACATTAGGGATCTTCTATACTTTATTTTGTTTTACCATCAAACTTTAATCACAAGATTAGCAAGAAATTACAAGGAAAGCTTGCACTTGGAACACACAAAAGAAAACCTAACACATCTAGCTCACAGAAGTTGTGGGTCTATGCAATGAAATACAGATCTCTCATGCAACCAATCCATTGGCTTAAATTAAATCAAGCCTCAACTACACTGATGGAAGTGTGAAACAGCATAATTAGTATACCAGCAGTTCAAAATGAATGCCTTTCTCTCGATTTCAGATTGTTTTCCATATTACTGTCTACTTATCTATTATTTAAGCCTCTATCTAATGCACCATTTTGAGGTCCACTTATTTGTAATGAAAAAGCAAAACTTCTTTCTATGATTTGGGAAAGGGGTTTAACAAGAGATATATTTGGATTATAGTACTGTTTTACCCAAATTGTGCAGACAAAATGTTCTTAAAACAGGTTTTGCATGTTTGATACTAGTGTCCATTGAAAAATATTATTGAGGTGTTCATTTATGGAAATTACTTAATGTATTGGAATAGTCGGTGTGCTGTGCTTTGTGCGTGTGGGTGTTT